AAGTTTTCCAATAAAAATTTACATAAAATCATGAAAAATAAGATTAGTAATTTTTCATTATAATCGTGTAAATGAAGAAAAATTTTTTATATTCGAAAGGTTAATCAATTTTTTGAGAAAAATAAAAATTATGTCATGTTTATTTTTCTTTCTTACCTTTGAATATCGTTTTATCCAATGTTTATCGATATTTTCTTTTCTATAATTATCTTGTTTATTGTCTTGATATACATAAATAGCAATAACTTGTGATAATTCATGAATATATGATATAATATTAGTAAAATGTTCATTTGAAACAATAAAAAAAATAAAATTATTTTTATTAATATCAGTAATAAATTCTTCACATTCATTAAAATCATTAAAACAACAAACATAATCAATTATTGATCGAAGTTGTTTATCATTTTCATTAAAATGTTCATCAAGACAAATAAGTGTAAATGGTTCAAGATTTTTATCACGAAATGATTTATCTTCAAGATTTTTATTTCGAAATAATTTTTGTTCAAGATTTATTGAAGATAATTTATTTGATTTATTAATTGAAGTATCAGTTGTTATTTTTGTATTTGAAGATGTTTTATTATTAATCGAAGGTAAAGTCGAAAAACTTGATCCACAACCCATTATTAACAAACTGACATGTTTAAATTCGATTCATTCTTTTTTTTTTAAAATATAATTTCGCCTTGAAATTTCACAATCGTTTGTCAATTCAAATGAGCTCTAAGCAACAAACGATTCTTTTCTTTTTTTTTTTTCTTTTTCTTTTTCTTTTCAGAATGATGAAATCCAACAAAAAATTTTTGACATCTTTTTTTTATGTTGATATAAGTGCTTTTTTTTTTCTTTTTACTTTTCTATGACAATGAATACCGTAACTACATCAACACAATTTGTATAACGTGACTTAATAGGAACGCTAGATGTATTGACTTGAAAGAAAAAAAAAGTAGGACAGCACAATAACATAAATTTCAATGAACTCTATGACGACAACAAAAATAAGAAAAAAAAAAAGAACCTACATAGAAGAATGACATAAAGCGATTTTTTTTTTCCTATTAAGAATTATGACGAAAATACAAACGTAATTATATTCATTTTCTAAATGGAAAAATTGAATTTCGAAATAAGAAGCATCACATATACGTCAGATGATCTTGTTTTCAAAAAAACTTTGATCTTTATATAATAGGATAGATATTAAAATTTTATATTTATTTTATTTTTTTGGTAACATTGAACTTAATATTCGAAGAATTTCAATAATTAAATAAAACACTAAAAGAAGAAAGAATATTAATCTCACATGATATTATTGAAAGTTCATTCAATTAAATATTAAAAAATAAAAGATAGTTACTTCAATTATTTAATACTAAAAGATGAAAATTCTATCTTTGTTAAAAAAAAAA